GTACCCGCTCTTATGCAGACATGGGGACTGCTAGAGGCATGCTCACCACTCCCTCCACTCTCACCTTGCATACACAATTAAAAGCACAGTCCTAATTAGTGGTCCTGAGGATGCCTGTGCTTAATAAAGGGCATCTGAAGGAGAGTGCTGCGAGGCTAGCTGAAGGAAGGAGAAGGGAGTAACACAGTGAAGTGAACAATGACTCAGCCTAGTTACAGGCTAGCTTTTTCATATGCATGCTCATTTCCTGCCCCCCCAAATCAGGCCTGTTTGGCCCCTCTTTACAGAACAGAAAATCGAGGTAGAGCGAGGTCATGCTACTTAACCAGGGTCCCAGCACTGGAAAGTAGCAGAGCTGGGAGTAAAAACTGTATAATACATCATTGTGTGCACGCGATTTGTTCAACACGAGACGGGCCTGCTCATGCTGAAAACTGTGTAGGTCTGGGGGTTGCTCTGGTGCTATTTCTCTGGCTATTTCAAATGCAATGCTTTAACTGATACCCTACTTTCTCCATCCAAGGTCTTGCTTTCTTCCACCTTTCTCAGCTGCTCTGTCCTTGATGCGCCTTAAACTAGATCTCCCCCATCCGTTTTCATCTGCTCTCTTTCAGAGATGTCCTTAAATTTTGGGTATCCCCACAGACCCCTTCTTGTTTTATAGTAGACTGTACATACTTTTATTTTTTAACTAGAAGAAATATATGGCTGCCAGAGAGAGGCAGAGGAGAAAGCACCCTTCATAGGGAATGATCACACCACAACCTCTTCTCCTCCATGACTTCCTCCCTTTCAGGATTTTGGGGATGCATGCCTATGCCCTGGCTTGTTTCTCAAGTTGCAGAGTCTGGGACTCTCATCACAGCTAGCCACGTGGAATCCTGTGGTTCTACACATGGAGCCAGCCAAGTTGTACTTACTTCTTTATTTAAAATTTAGTATATGTAAGATTTGGGGTGAGTGGGTGACTTAGTCATCTTGGGATGTCATAATGAAATACTGCAGACTGAGTGGCTTAAGCATCAGACTGAGTGGCTTAAGCATCAGACATTTATTTTCTCATAATTCTGGAGGCTGGAAGTGCAAAACCAAGGCGAGGACCTTCTCTCTGGCTTGCAGAAGGCTATTCTTGTTGTGCCTTCACAGAACACACAGTAAGAGTGAGAGAGAAATAGAGAGAGACACAGACTGGTCTTCCTTTCTCTTCCTGTAAGAATAGTAACCTCACCATGGGGACCTACCCTCATGACTTCATCTAAATCTAATTATCTTCTAAAGATCATTCTCCAAACACCATCTTATTGGTGCCTCAATTTATGAATTTGGCAGGTCGGGGGAGGGCAGAAACATTTGTCCTTAACAGTGAGGAGGCAGGCAGATGTGCTTAGCCACCATTTCAATAGACACTTCCAGGGGGACCAGCAGTTAGCGTAATGGGTATGTCACCGGACTCCCATGTAGTTGACCGTGGTTTGCGTCCCGGACCCGGTGACTTAAAACTCACGCCGGGTGCATGTGCATGCGTGCCCAAGATCCCGAGAGGAGAATGGAGGAGAAGGGATTGCGGCGTGACCATCCCCCCTGGGGGGTGATTTCTCGCTTTCTGTCTCTATGTCCCTCTCTGTCTGTCTGGCGAGCACACATGCCCTATAGCAGAAACCTCTAAAAAAAAAAAAAAACCCACAAAGTCATTAAATAAAGTGTGTTTTTTTTTTTTTTTGGAGAGATTTTCACTGTAGGGCGCGTGCACTCGCCAGACAGACAGAGAGAGACATAGAGACAGAAAGCGAGAAATCACCCCCCATGGGGGATGGTCACGCCGCAATCCCTTCTCCTCCATTCTCCTCTCGGGATCTTGGGCACGCATGCACATGCACCCGGCGTGAGTTTTAAGTCACCGGGTCTGGGACACGAACCACGGTCGACTACGTGGGAGTCCAGCGACATAACCATTACGCTAACTGCTGGTTCCCTGTTTTTTTTTTTTTTTTTTTTTTTTTGTTTTGTTTTGTTTTGTTTTAATAGACACTTCTGAGCTGAGTCTTGAAGGACAAGGTTGCAGTCTGTAGCTGCTTTGGGAGCCCAGTAGACAGAAGAAAGCACTATAGTGGCCAGATCAGTGACGTTCAGCATCCATGGGCCATGTACCCCTTTGAGAATCTGATAACAAGATCTCTTCTATAAAAAGGAAAAAGTTGATAGCATGCCGGGACATTTTCAACACTGCTTCTGGTTGTGTTGAGGCCCACCCATGGACCGCCTGGTGTCCACGTCCAGGTCATCAAGCCTGGCTTAGACGGCGGGTTCCATGATGATGGTATCCATGGCACTTGCTCTCCATTGTACCCAGCCCTACGCAGTGCTTGGCTCGTAGCAAGCACCATCTTAATAAAACTGTGTTGGAACAATAGTTAAACTAATTTAATCAGAGGACTTTTGTGGAGATTCATAAAGGTACGAAAAGGTGGGCTATGTAAATTCTTCTGTTTTGTTTCCCCTCCCACCCACAGATGAAGCAGTGGCTCACTGGGGGTTCGGGCACGTGGATGAGTCAGGTCTTGGGTTGCCATTGTGCATTAGGAAGACAGGAGCTTACACTGCCAAGACTTACAGCTCCAATTCGGCAAAGAACAGGCAAGGCCGTTCTCCTTTATGACAGGGTAGCCCTGAATCACTGGGATGCTCGTCAGGGAAGCTGGAAGGGAGCAGGGATCTTAATGTGCATCTTTGGGGATCATAACATGTATCTCTGGTGTGTGCCATGGCTCACGGGTCACCGTCATGACTGCACTTAAGGTTTTGTGGGAGTTTCCCAGGAATCTTTGAAGCAGACACTGATGCCATTTTGACTCAGCTTGCTCCACTGGACTCTCCATTTAGCATCTGCCAACATTTCCCAGTCCCAGCC